GGGGTGTCGCGTACTCACCCTTGAGAGTTTCTGAGCGGGGGGGGTGGCTGTGCAGGTGGGTGATCTGGTCGGAGCGCGGCGCGGAGCCGGCGCTGCTGGCGGCGGGGCTGGACGGTGCGGGCGCGCGCGAGCTGGTGGCTCGCCGAGTGCGCCGGCCGGCCGCGCTGGCACTGCTTCCGCCCGCGCGCCGCCTCTACTTCGTGGACGGGTACCACGACGCGCTGCGGAGCGTCGCGCTGCTCGGCGGAGACCTCGCCACGCACGTCGTGTTCGCGCATCGTCCGCACGACGCGCCGCAGCTGCCCAAAAATCTAACAGGTCTCCAAAAAATAAAAATAGCAATCGTCGATACGAGGCGTTTTAATGTCGATCGAAATATATTTTGTTGTTCGTGCGCACCGGTACAGACGAGGCGTACGTGTCGCAGTGGACGCGGACGTGCGCGCGCATGGCGGTGTGGGAGGAGACGCTGTGGTGCGCGACGGCGCGCGGGCTGGCCCGGCTGCCGCGCCGCGCCCGCACCGCGCCCGCGCCTCCTCCGCAGCTTCCCCGCGCGCGCCGCCCGGTCACCGCCGTGGCCGTGCTGCACGCCGTGCTCTTCCCGCCCGGTGAGTGACGTCATATTTGTCTACGGGTTTATTCTTTAATCTGATAAACGAAACGTTTGAGGCCCAATATTAATCGACTCGACTTGGAAATTCATTAAAATACAAACTGTAGCGGAGAGTGTCTGTGCGCAGGGGAGGACCCGTGCGTGTTGGCGGACGGCAGCCCGGCGTGTCACGCGAGCGCGCTGTGCGTGCGCCGCGCGGGCTCCGGCCGCGCCTGTCTGTGCCCCGACGGCCTGCAGCCCCGCCCCCGCCCCCGCCCTCTCCCCCGCCCTGGCCCTCGCCCGGATACATCAGACGCACCAACGGACGCAGAGGTCAGTACACGCGCACAGATCGGGCACGGAACTTAAATTGCACATTTATCCTGATTCTTAATTATGTACCTAAAGATGAATTTCAACTCCATGTCATCCCAGTCGAATCGCGAATGTGTAATCGCGAACTCGGCGGACAATGCGGCGAGCGAGGCGAGCGAGGCGGGCGCGGCGGCGGAGGCGGGCGCGGCGGCGGAGCTGGAGGCGGGCTCGGCGTGCACGCTGCAGTGCGGGGCGGGCGAGTGCGTGCTGGAGGGCGGGGCGGCGAGGTGCCGGTGCGGGCCGCTGTTCGCGGGCGAGCGCTGCCAGCACTACCGCTGCGCCGCGCACTGCCACCGCCGCGGCCGCTGCGAGCCGGACCCCGCCGCCCACGCGACGCCCCCCGACCTGCCGCCGCTCAAGGTCTGAATCCCTTTCTATTGGAGCTTTCGCTGTGGTGTTCCATCACGCTACCATATACCTTATCCTTTTAAAAATAATTAAAACTTTAAAAGTATATGTTTGGGGATCGATGTCGTGTGCAGTGCACGTGCAACCCGGGCTACTCGGGGCCGCGCTGCGAGCGGGTGGAGGACGTGTGCGCGCGCGTGGTGTGCGCCAACGGGGGGACGTGCCGCGCCCTGCGCCGCGCCCCCGCCTGCCTCTGCGCCCCCGGCTACTCCGGTGCGTGCCCGCGTCTCCACCTCCACCTCCACCTCCGCCTCCACCTCCGTGGGTGCTACGTCTTCAGTAACACATTTATGGTTGCGGTGCGCAGGCAAGCTGTGCGAGCGGTGCGTCGACGAGACCTGCCAGTACACGGTGCGCGGGGAGAGCGGGGAGAGCGGGGAGGAGGGCCTCCAGGGGCTCTGCGATGGTTTCTGCTTTAACCAGGTATACTGACAACATTTCCTCTGTTAAAATTGTCGTGTGACTTCGTCGGAATGTCTCGTTTCGGGGTCGGGTCGCGGACGACGTAAGAGGAATCCAGCGACAGCATTGTGAAAGTATTCCCGTAGGTGTGCACGTGCGCTGCATTTACTATCGCGAATAAATAGTTGCCCGGTCGATGTTGTCGTGCGCAGGGCACGTGCCGCGTGAGGTCTGGGCGCGCGGTGTGCACGTGCAGCGCGCGCTGGAGCGGAGAGCGCTGCCAGCGGCCGGCGTGCGAGGACGCGGCCTGCGCGCACACAGACACGCCTCCTCCTCCGCACGGTCAGTACCACTTCCGGTGTTTCAGTTCAATAGTATTGCTTGTATTTTAATATATAATAACTCAGAAGACAATGAGGTCGTTAGCCGAGGGTCCGCACCCCGCAGCCCACACCCCGCACCCCTCGCTCGGTGCAACCAGTCGAGTCCCAGCGGAGGCCGCATTTCCTCGCAGCGTCGATAACATTACTATATTATGGAGAAACATTTAGGAAACCTTTATTTTATCAGATTTTCCGCTTGTAATGTGATATAATCGTAAAACAAGATGACATGTTAACAAATAAGTGATGCCTGGTAGGTAAGTGTTGTATGACGTCACATCTCCCTGATCTCTGTGATCCCCCCTCCCCGCCTCCCCCCCCGCGTAATGCATCTATGTCTCATTTAACAACATTAGTGCAGAAATAATCCATTTAATATTTCTAAACGGAACATATTTGAAGCTAATTGAATTTAATGATTTTATTGTACAACTCGTGCGTTAAATAACATCACATCAAATGTATGATATTGTGTGTATGTGTGTGTGCGGAGTGTTGATCCCCGCCCGCCTCACACCCCCACCCGCCTCACACCCCCACACCATCACATCGCATTTGCCACATTTCAATTCATCAAAATGAACAAGTTTTGAGCTGTCTAATAAATACAACGTCGCATTGCTTCATACAAACAGGATTTTATTTAACGTAAAAAAGCGACTATGATTTAAATGTAGGACCGGTCCGCGATGACACCGGAGTCAAATGGCGAAGTGGAAGTGGAAGTGGAGGCGGAGATGGAGGTGGAGGTCGACATCGACATTACACAAGGAACTCGTCGCCTCGACACCGCACCACGTCGCACCACGTCGCACAACACGTGCGCTCGCGCTAACTACTTTCAAAACTTTTATTCCTCGATGTGATAGCTAATACATATTCAATTGTCGGGGGTTGTTGATCGGGATCCCCCGGCCCCGTACTGTGTATTCCACTTAGCTCAATAAATATAATATCGCTAAGCATTTATCTGAGCATAAATCAATGTAGCTGTCACTGTGTGAAGCAATAGCAGAGTTTACAGTTGTCTCGCCTTTGTTTATACACAGCGCATACATGCGCAAGCGCCGGCGCAAGCGGGGCTCCACCCGTCCCGACATACTATTCTTATACCAATTAGTCATTGGGTTAATCCACAAATGAAGATGTCGCAGCAAACATCTATAACTGATATAAACATGGATAAGCTACGATACTACCAGCGGAGTATGAGGTTAACGGTTTTGTCACATATTAGTAAATAAGTGCGCTGGATGCGGCACACGGGGGAGACTTACCTTCAGTACTCGACAATCTCACACTGACGACGATGATGACAAGTGTCATTGCAGTCAAAACTCACACATAATAACAACAAATAAGACATGTTCGCATTATTTACTTAATAAACTCGGGGATTTTAGTTACAATTATCAACTTTTCCGCGTCATATCTGTTACATACCTGATGTATATACATCGCATATAAATATAAAAAAATCAAGATCAATAATCGTGTGGTTTTCCTGGCGGCCGGTCTGACCTCACCTATCAATACTTATGACTTCTCAGAAATAATTCTTTTTGTGTTTATTATATAAAACTAGTATTTATAAAGGTTTTGAGATGGAGGTGTCGAGATTGTTTTAACCTTCAGAATGCGGTCGGCGCGGACATTCGCGCTCTGTGAGTGACATGTTTGCAAACACTTGCTACATCATCATTGTTCCACAACTGAGTCTCGCAGACGGTGTTCGGCTCGCACCCAACGTAATACGTAAGGTTGGTGCGAGCTGAACTGAATTCATTTGTTCTTTATGAAAGGTGAAAGTGATATTTGAGCAGTTCAGTAGTTTACTTTAGATGTGTACTGAATTTGTACCATTCTGTAACTTCTACCATATTACTAACATCTGACTAATTTCTTGGTCATTATAAATCCGGAAGCCGAGGCTCGTGCACCTCACAGTGAGGCTACTTGGAGGTTGACGGGTGCGCGTGAGAACTATTGTGTTTTCATAAAAAAACAGTTGATAAATTCAAGTTTACCGCGCTGTTTGTTTTGTTGTATGTCCTTGCAGCGAGCGAGCGGTGCCAGCTCTGCTGGGCTCGCGCTGAATCGCACTACTTCTGATTAGCATACGATAACGCGTCTAGATGACTTATCATGATAATAAATAAATTAAGTAAAGGTTTTCATTTTATAGCCTGATTTAAATTTAATATACGACGTAGAGGATTATATCTGGTAACATATCATTCCACTTGCCTCAGATCGCGATTGCCGGTTTTGTTCGCGAATATAAAAAAAATAATTTTAATTTTCCTTGCTTACATTTTTTTCTATAATTATGTTATACATATTGCAAACAAAAAAACCCAAAACGTTCGCAGGACGCGGTGTCGGAGCGGCGCGACCTGCGAACGTTTTCCTCCTTGTAAATGTCAATTGTAATTTTTTATTTGATTTATAGGAATCGTACAAAGGTCGTTGTTGTTACTACGTCGCCTTCGCATCTAAATTTTCCTTTTTAATAAAACTCGCTTCACCGGTAGCCTTCAAAATTCCGGCAGCGAGCGATTTGCTCTCACTTGTGTGATGTAGCTTTTTACAACATAAGTTTGGAACATAATTTACTGCGAAATTTGAAGCATTGTGGTACAAACTGACGGCACGTTACGGTGCATAATTGCAATCCGCAGAAGTAACTCACAGTAACGGGCGCCACCTTCTTCTACGTCTACTGGAGGACAACAACCGGTGCAATGCCATGACCACGGACAAGTGCGTGCTTTCTGTGCGTCTTCTCCCTCGATTAAAGGTGGCAAGGTCTCTGCAATTGCGGAAGTCTATGGACAAAAATGAGGTGGTCGCTTGCCACCTTATAATAAATAAATATCTGGCAATAGCAATATAAAATGTCGTTAGGTTTTCTGAAACCGGAATTTCCGAATGTGCAATGTTTGTGAACAAACGAGGCGAGGAGCCGGTGTGGCTGGATGCGCTCGGCGCGGCGAGGTGGCGGCGAGTTGGCGGCGGCCGTCAGTCGCGCGCGCGCCTCCGCCTCACGTGCACGTGCACTCGCGGAGTACATGGTCGCGCACTCGTAGAGCCGCCGCGCCGGTAGCACTGCACTCCCGCGGGATATGTCACACGCGTCCGCTCGCACTGTCATATAATTACCTTACTTATCTGTGATATGGGGAAGAGGAGACGTAGAAGTGATAATGGTGAGATTTTACTGAACATTGATATTTCTTTCGATAAATTAAATTAAAAAAAACATTAGATTTTATACTGACAAGACATATCTTCTACTACTGTAAGATCCTGGTGTTTATTGTTTTCTTATAAATTATGGGCAACAGCGGGAAGAGCGGTGTCGGTGCGGGGTGGACCGGGCTGGCTGCAGGGGAAGTTCCTCGCGTGCTTGAATTGCTCAAGTCAAGTTACACCTTTCGAAATTTGTTGTAAAATAGGCCTTTTATTTATGTTAATAAACAGTGAAACTTACGATACAACACGGAACTGTGCTTTTTAAGGATATAATTTTTTGCAATTTTTTAACATTTTCCTATTAATAGTTTTTAAAGCAAGTTTGTACATCGCAAACTTATAACAATACCAGCGCTTCGAGCAGTTCGTAACCTTAAAATGAACCGCAGGGCGCAGCGGGCCGCAGCGGCGCCTCGGCCGGGTCAAGGCCGCGCCGCGCGCCCACAAAACGTAACATAATTAATATGGGCATAAATATTATGAACTACACATGATTGTTTCTTATGAACGATGATCCATCATCCGGAATGGCTTCTTACTAATTATTTTTTTGGTCCCAATTAATTGGGTTTGAAAAAATATTTCCGCGTCAATAACGCGTCTATGTGTGTGTGTGTGTGTGTGCGCGCCGGCAGAGTGGGGGCTGCGCTGCGCGGGGTTGTGCGGCGCGGGCGGGCGCTGCGTGGCGGCGAGCGGCGGCGTGTGCGCGTGCGCGGCGGGGCGGGGCGGCGCGCACTGCCAGCGCTACGTGGGGCACGACTCCGCCTGCGCCGCGCTCTCCTGTCCGCCGCACGCGTTCTGCGCCTGGCGACCTGATGGTACCTGTCTCATATCTTAACGTTTGCTATCCATCACCGGCGGTAGTGGTCATTTATGTAAGTGGAGAGTTCGTCAGTGATACGGTGCCGCCTTCTTGCAGACGACCCGCTGGGCCCGGGCGAGGCGTTTTGCGCATGCGAGGGCGAAGGATGCGAGATGGGCGGGGCGGTGCGCGGGGGTGGGGGCGGGGCGTGGCTGGGCGGGGTGCTGGCGCTACTTACGCTGGTGTCCCTCCTCCTCGCCGCGCTATACCTCGTACACAGGAGACGTCGGTACGTACCACTCATTTTAAACAGAATTTAGTAACCTTTTGTTTAAGTTATAATATTGCAGTATGTGTACATATATCTTGTGTGCGTGTGTGTGTGTCAGGGGGGCGTTCGTGCACGCGCGTCTGGCGGACAACGTGGAGATCAGCAACCCGATGTACCTGGCGGGCGAGGACGAGCCGGAGCCGCGCGGCGCGCACGACGCGGTGAGTGCCCGTGCTGCACGCGCCGACCTCTGTGCTGTATGCACATACAGCCTGTGCTAATGTGACGTGTGCTTACAGAACGGCGGCAACCACTTCGCCAACCCCGTGTACGAGAGCATATACTCCCCGCAGGAGGCGCACCCCACTGAGGTCAGTCTCGCTCACATCGTCACACATCTAACTGCTGCTTTTGTTCCTCTTCTAATATTTGTTGTTGTTTCAGGAGCGCGCCAACTTGCTGCAGGAGGGTTCTCCGGCACGCCTGTAGACCGCTCTAGTGCGGTGCAGGGCGCCGGCAGTGTGCGTGTGCACCAGATGCGTATGCAAGCTGACGTGAAGAGAGATGGAGCTGCGTGTATTGTTCGGTGTCAGAATCCCGGCCGGAACATCATCAACATGTATTATACAACAAACAACTTCTAGTAATTTTACAAGTTAATTATGTTACATAAAATTATCTTCATACAATTTCCTTTTTCATTGTAAAATATTTCGCTACCGCGTTCTATGCAACTTGGTATTTCTTAAAACAAATACGATTTAAGAATGTATATTGTAAAAATACGTTACTAAATACGATGTTTACAGTTTAATATATAATTAGAATGTGTCGTCGCTGTCTCCTTACAAATGCACACTTTTTGCGGCGCATTTGTATTGTAACAGGTGTTCTTGAATTGCGCAATTTCTCGCACAATTTTATATGATTTCTTATAAAATTTGTACCAATTATTTCAAAGAAATATGTCATTTTGTTTGAAAATATTTTTTATTTACTCACTTAAAAAAATGTTTGGTATTAATTATGTAAATGAATATAAGTAATAAATATTTTAGTTAAATTTAAAGAAAAAATAGTACAATAATGAATGTATTATATATAACTCGATATCACTAGATTTATTATAATTTCAAAGACAATTCTCGTGACGTAGTAACTTGTATTCGTCGTACATATCGGTATTTAAATCTTCAAATAAAATATGATGTATGTCATGTAGTGCAGCTGCGCATCAACTTTAAGTCTAGATTTAAGTACAAACATATCTGTTTTATGCTAATTTAGATCTCGTGTAAAACTCTTTACATTTACGTCAATGGATATATAATACACATCAGTGGGGTAAAGAAAACTTCCGCCTTTTGTTGAGGTTTAGAACTCGTGATTAGAATCAAACATTTATAAAAAACACTTCATCTATAGCTTGTACGTCTATTTATATGTTTTATAATTTTTCTATTTTTAGTTTTATCAATTTTACAAAAGTCAGTAATAAATGAAAAAGTTCATATATTCAACAATATTTAATGTATTCATTGTAACAATATGTACAAATGTTTTCATTGATGTAAACGCAGATGTTATTCATTAAAGTTAACTAACAGTTCTTGTCACAGTGCATACATTATTTGAACTCAATTTTCGCCATTTATTTATAGTTATCGCGCGTGATGTTTAGCTATTTTTAGATTTTGATATTGCATTTTTTGATATATTTATTTTGTGATATTTTTTGTGAATAAATCATAAAGTTGTGAGCCAACTCACAGAGTTAGATATTTTTAGTGTAATATATCTAGGAAGGCCTAATTAAAGAATCATATTTAGGCGTCATTTTGTAGGAAACAATAAAATAAGTATAATAATTTGGACGCAAGTCGTACAGTTACATGAAGAAGTGCGGTTTGTATTCGTGTGAGATTGAATCCTGAGACTCGATATTATTGTAAGTACTTCTAGTACAATCAACAATAAATATATTGAATTTATACAGATTTTCATTTTTCTCTCCTCCTCTCTCTCTCTCTCTCTTACAGATTTTGTACGCATCAATATATGGGGTTAGACAAAATAAAAGAAAATTGTAAACAATTTACAAGATTTATTGAAGAAAGATGAGGTCAGTAGAAGTCGTCGTCGTCCATGTTGTGTGCGGTGTGGTTGTTGCGCACCGAGTCCTGCGCCAGGTACATGCGCGCTATCTGCTCCGCGCTCGTCGCCTCCTCCGCGCGCTTGTCCTCGCGCACGCGCACGAACCTGCTCGCGCACACGCACACACGGGTGAGCAAACTTTGCACTAGTTATAGTTTGTGTCGGCACAATAGAAAGAGCGATACCTGGGGAAGCGCAGCGAGACGCCCTTGTCCCGGTCGATGAGTCCGAGCGCGGCGCGGTGTGCGGGCGACAGGGACAGGTCCGCGCACCGCACCTCCCACACGCACGTCGCCTCCACCCACACGTCCGGCGCCTGCGACGTCTCGTAGCTGCAACGAAACCGAATCATCATCTGCGTTGCACACATACATACATACATACATACATACATGTCAGAATCCGGCCGCACCTGTAGTAGTTCCTGGGCGCGTCGATCACGTGCCGCTGCAGCTGCTCGGTGAAGGCGTCGAGGTCTCGGTCGGAGAAGCCGGTGCCGATCTTGCAGAGGGTCTGGTAGCGCTCGCCGGCGGGGTCGTAGCACGCCAGCAGGAAGCCGCCGAAGCGCCCGGCTCGCCGGCCGCGTCCGCGGTACGCGCCGATCACCACCGCGTCGATGCTGTCCCCGCCGCCCTCCAGGTAGTCCTTCTTCAGCTGCAACACGCCGCAGCGTCAGTCCGCGCCCGCACACACCTCGCGCCGGAGCCCGCCCCGCACCCACCTTCAGCCAGTTGCGGGAGCGGCGCGCGATGTCGTAGTGCGCGCGCTCGCCGTGCAGCGCCTTCACCATGAGCCCCTCGCAGGAGCCTCGCACCGACAGCTCCAGAAAGTGCTGCACCTCCTCCGCGCCGCTGCAGTCCTGCGCGCGCGCGAACTCCCACGTGCCGGGGCTCTCGACGAAGTGCTCGCGCAGCAGCCGGCGGCGCTCCGCCAGCGGCTCGCGGCACAGCGCGCGCGCGTTCAGCAGCAGCAGGTCGAACACGAACACGCACACCTGCACGCGCACCTCCGCCGCGCTCGCGTCCTTGCGCTTGCGTGTCGACAGCACCTGCACCGGACACGCGCTCCGTCATATACCTCCGTCTCCCCGCTCGTC